CCCGGGCCCCCGTGCCCGGGGGGGGAAGGGAGCGAGACCCCCGCCACGTTCCGCGACAGCCCCAGGCCCAGCAAGGAGCCAGGCCCCAGCCCCTGGCAGCCCTACCTGTCCGAGTCCAGCAGCTCTTCGGGGAAGCTGCCGGTGGAGAGGCGCTGGCTGCCAGGCTCCTGGGACTCGCAATGCTGGTTGTTTTCAAAGTGCTGGATGATGTTCCTCACGTTGCCGGGTTTGACTGGCGGGACGGGGGCAGGAGGACAGAGGGACAGACATGAGGCACAGGGACGGAGACCCTCAGCCCGCGGCCCTCCTGGGGCTCACTGCCTCCCCGCTGTGCTGAGTCCGGGCCCAGCATGTCTACCCCCCCCCGGCTCTGGCAGCTCTGCCAGGGTTTGGAGATCGCTGTGATGGGGGGAGGCCGGTCTGGGGTTTTGGGAGGCAGGGCAACACCCTACCGGAAGCCTCTGCCCCCCCCATGCCTCTGTGCAGACTGTGTATGAAAAGCAGCCTGCAGGAGGCGCCGGCAGCGGGATCCGAAATCAGCGGGTTGTGGCTGCAAACCTGCAACACACCCAGGCCTGGCGCCACACCAGTGACCGATTATGGGGCGTCTGACACCCCCTCATTTTGGGGGGAGGGGCCAAAAATGCATCCTCCTCCTGAGGTTTGTCTGGGGACCCCTAGAGAACCAGCCTGCGCAGCGGCAGGCTGTGGAGTACATCGCACAGCAGGGGAAAAGTGACCGGCTGAGGCCTCATCTCGACAGGAATCCTGCACCGGTTTTGAGCACCCGGTGCAAACCCCTGTGTGGACGCTCTTATTTCAGTTTAGCTTCAGCTTGTTCCCCTCTGACATAAAGCGCCTCCCCCCAGCCTCTCGCATCGGGGCCTCTCTCACGGGCCAGGGGATCCTCACACTGCCGGCGGCTTGCAAAGGAGAACAGAGTACGGTCGAGTGGGAGGTGGGCGCGACAAGCATCAGGGCGGAGGGGACCGTGGGATGGGTTCCTCCTTCAGCCTCGAGTGCCACAGGCACCCACTTCTCTCCCCATCACTCCTGACGTTACCCATTGCACACTCTGCCCCTCTCCCTCCCGGCTTCACAGATTCGCCTGACTCAGGCCCTACGACCTGCAAACACGAGCAGCCTTGGCAGCCAACAGAGAGAGAGAGAACTTCTTTCCTGTGCCAATTTGCTGCCTCCCTCTAGGGATGCGGGTGGGAGTCAGACAGTGCTCATGCCCTAGGGCATCGGGTACCCTCTAGACCAGTGTTTCTTAAACTGTGTTCCATGGGACACCGGTGTGCCGCAAGGCAGTTGGAGGTGTGCCACGGAAAAGAACAGCGTTCAAAATGGCCGCCCTTAAAGGGGCAGGCAACATTTTTTTTTTTTTGGTTAATAACCTCTAGGGATGCGGGTGGGAGTCAGACAGTGCTCATGCCCTAGGGCATCGGGTACCCTCTAGACCAGTGTTTCTTAAACTGTGTTCCATGGGACACCGGTGTGCCGCAAGGCAGTTGGAGGTGTGCCACGGAAAAGAACAGCGTTCAAAATGGCCGCCCTTAAAGGGGCAGGCAACATTTTTTTTTTTTTGGTTAATAACAATAAATTTCCCCTCTCCCCCCCCCA